TTTAAACAGACTTAGTGATCTGTGCCTCTGAGTTTGCTACATAAAAGTACACAGATTCAGAAAAACCCAAAAGGAATGTCAGTCCTCAGATGTGTACATTATGTACAATATACTTTCACATTAAGATTAAAAATACCTATGTGGGTGAATTTAAGATATGGGACAATTTTTCTGGGATAAGGACACCTTCAAAAATAGTGTACCCATGCTTTTGGCAATCACTTATGTGTAGGGAGGGAGCTTTTCCATGTTCTACTGTATTCCATCAATAGCAACTAGTTTAATGGCATAACCTTAGCTTTTATGCTGCCCTGTGATTGACAGTGTTAATAAATATTGGATCATAAGGTCCTATTAAGAGTTTTGTAACAATGAGAGAAGAACACAAGTCAAGACTAGAGGCTTAACTCAAGTGGTTTATTTTTTGCCTAGCAAATGCAAGACCCTGAGTTCAAACCCAAAAAGAACCAAAGTCAAGACGAGCGCCAAAGCTATTTCTATATGGATCTACTGGAGCCTGTTCAGAAGAAAGAATTCTCATAGTATTTTGTCATTATCCCTTACTAGCAAACTTCTTAGATCTTGCCTGGGAGCACTTTGGCTACAAGAGAATCTTGGAACTTTGCCCATCTATGTTCAACTTAAATATCAAACAGATCATCAACTTTTCAGCATATCTTTACATTAGAAATTGTTGAAGGCAAAGCAATTCAAAAGTACACTGCCTGCTCCAGCCATATCCATCTATAGGGTAGTACTTGGGTAAACGAAGTAAATTCCACTTCTGCATTCTGTATAATAAACACCAGTTCAAAGGCAAGCAGGCTGCTTGTACTGATCCCATAGATGTGTCCTGTAGACAGGGATGGAGCTGGAACACTAGGTTTTCTGTATCTCAGAGGCAAGATTGGCTTTACAAAACTGTAGAGCTTTCACTTAAGATAAAGAGAATATTTCTGTGCTACACTAGCTCATGAACACTGGGGAACTTAGCTATCTGAGCATCTTATTCCTTCCATATTCAGTGTTTTAGATTTGGGGCTTTTTCCTGGACAGAGTCTTGGACAGAACTATTGGCTCCTGTCTGAGGCCTATTCAGGCACTGATTGGGGTTGTACAATCCCAGTGTAACAAAGGAAAATAATCTCAGTAAAAAGAAATTTTTTTCTTACAGTGTTATACTTGAGGAAATTTCATCCACGATATTTCAAAGTCACAAAAGTTGGACTTGGTACATCTACTGAAATATTCTGTCTGGGCTCAGCATCAAGAACAGATTAAAAAAAAAATCTAAGGCAGACGTTGTATGCACTGTGTATAAGCTTTCTCACAGGCAATCTGTAAATTTGGCTTAATGTGATATTTCCAGTTCACTGTAGCATCCAATTTCAGTTATGATAGAAAAGGTGGAATGGATTCGCTCTTATTTGCTACTATCTTTTCAACTGCATGATTTCTTCCAACATTTACCAGTTAAACATCAACCTTTAACTGCTGCAGTCTAATCAGGAGAGTTATTGACTGTAAGTTAAACATGTGTAATATTAAAATGAAATACATATATATGCATATTTCACAATTTGAGCAATTACAACTCCAAATTACATGAAGCTTCCCCTCCCTGCTGTAAATCATTTATCATCCTTTCATTTATTTTCTTTTTTTCACCCCCATCTCACCTTCTTTCCTTCTTTACCTATAGGAAATTGCCATGAAAAATGTCATTTAGATAGAGAAGCTATTAAAGTCATTTGCTAGGAGGAACTCCAGTGTGTGTCTGATTAACAAGGTCTTCCTCCAGCAAGAGGGAGAAGGATCTACTTGTATAAGTCCTAACCACTTACATATCACACATACTATATTTTACACTCAGAAAACTTTGTGTTAATTCAAAATAATATTAAGGATTCTGATTTTTAAAATATTTTCTCATGAAAATCTTATTTGGAATTACTTAGAAATGTATAAGCATCTTTTCACTAAATTCAGTATACTAAACTGTTTTCATCAACTTGTTTTCCTCTTTTTCGCGCTATCTTTAAAATTTAGTACAATTTTAGCAAAACAAACAAAACCCTTTTTTTTTGTTATTGGGGTTTGAACTCAGGGCCTTCATCTTAAGCCACCAACCCCTTTTTTTTGTGATGGCTATTTTTGAGATAGAGACTCGGGAACTATTTGCCTTAGTTGACTTCAAACTGTGTTCCTCCTATCTCTGCCTCCTGAGTAGCTGGGATTACAGACATGAGCCACCAGCTCAGTGTGATTTCTAAAAAAAATTTAGTGTACTTTCTAACTTCTAACAAACAGCAAGTAATTTTTCTTGATTTGTTATTCTGGTGAGGAAATTTTTGCTAGCTTTCAAAATTCCTGTACCTCATAAGTCAACACAAGTTACGCATTTTTCTGTGTTGTGAGTTCTTAGAGCTCAGAGTTATTTCTCCCCGAATTTAAAGTTTTTAATTTTATTTGATTTCTTAATGTATGGTTATTGTGTTAGTTTCTCTCAGGAGAAGTTTCCAAGTGAATATTGCTTTTAGAAGAATAAATATATATTTTTATTAATACATATTGGAATGTCTCCAGAGGATTTTGGATTTGCCTTCTTTCTTTCATTCACAGCAAAAATGATAAGAGCACCATAATCCTTTTATGAGACATATTCATTAATAATTTTTTTATTGTTCTTTTCATCCACAACTTTGACTACTGATGAGTCTCCCTGTTTATCAGTATTTAAACACACATCTTGTATGTTTATTAGAACAGAAATGTGGCATAATAAAAAAATGCATTACTTTAATGTAAATGGACAAAAATGACATTATTTATATTTCTGTTGATTCAAACTAGAACTACTCATTGTTTCTAAGAATATTTTATAGTTATATACTTGGTAGGTTTTTATAATCTCTGGTATTCTTTGAGACTCTGTTATTGCATATTTTGATTCCAATTTCTTTTAACTTCTTTTTGCCTTTACATTTACAACACCATAATAAGTATGTGAGATTTATTCTTCACAATCTCTTCTCTTCAACTTTGCTGACTTTTTTCTTATCTACCCAGGGCACACTCAAGCGTACCTTCTGACTTCAGGTTTTTCTCTGGCCATTCTAAACATGGTGAACTCTCTCTAATTATTCATGTCCTAATACCTTCTTCAGTACCCCACAGATATGCTGGGCTTGCCTTACAAACCCTCAAATCCTTTAGTTCCCTTTAGCATGCTCTGCATTGAGGCATTGAGTATTATTCAGAAAACAACAATATAACAGTGTAGGTCAGTAGAAATCTAGCTCAGTGGTCTCCATCCTTATCAGGCCCTTGATATTTCCAAACCATCCTTCTCTCAGGTCCCTTCCCATTCCACTCAGCTCTCCTCACCACTGTGATTAATTCTGTAATGAGTAAATGGGTATTATTAACACAACACCACAAATGTTACACTAAGCTCCAGGGATACACTGTTGGGCAGAAACAAAGCTCTACCCTTATATAGTATGCAAGAGTCAGGTACTTATAAAATAGCAACGGCAATGATGATTTCATTACACCTGAATCAAGTGATAGAAAAGAAAAGTGGCCTGATATTGGGATAGGGAGGGACAGACACTAATTGGGTTATGGGTAAAGTTTATTGCTATCATTGCCTTGCTTTTTCTTAGTTTGCCACATGAGAATACCTCGGCTAGTAGTCTAAGTTTTTAAAAATTTATTTTAGCACTTTATTTAAGTGGTATACTTTTTCAGTCTTCTACAACTTACTAGTATGATTTATCCATGTTGATTCTGTAACTTTCAGAATTTACTTTCATTGCTATGTTTTGAAATACCTCTGTTTTTAATCATAATTGAGTCTGTGTACATTTGGGCTGCTTTCTATTTTTTGTCATTAGAAACAATTCTGATAACAGTAGAAATTCTGATAGCAGGCAAGGCATGATAAAGAAAGATTACTTAATTTTCAATAGATGCGTATTTGGTCATTCTCTAGCAGTTATCACAAATTAGCAAATTAGACCACTTTGAGGTTCTGCCATATTTAAAATTTTAAAACAATGTGATAAATTTTTCTGACATATTATCTATAGAAGAGGATAGAAAATAATGGAGTAATTATGTTCCGTTGTAATATTTCAACATCATCTTCTCTGTGCACCATCCAGTGGGCTACAAACACACCTTTTTCAGTGAGGTCTGAGCCCATTCTTGGGAACTGAGGCTTCTTTCGAGTTTGTCTGGCTTTGGGTTTGCTCCCTAAGCCCCAGGGTCATATTTTACAGTCACTTCACATCACACTGTCCTACAAAAGCTTAAGAGTACTTTACATTAACTTTCTCCTGTTTAAAACATCAGTGAAGTCAATTCTAGATAATTTCAATGAAATTTAAATTTCATTGAACTATTAGATTGAATAATGAAATGGCCAAAAGGCAGGAAATAAGACTCAGACTGGAAGAATGAGAAATTAAAAGCAAATGTTCTTCAAAGATTCTTCTGCATTGCCCTTCATAAGAATAACTGGAGTAGTGTCAGTAATGTTATTAAAAATCAATGAAGTCATGATGAATTAAATGAGGTAACATGTAATTTATCTCAGCTCCAAATTCACCCTTCAATACCTGCTCTTCAGTAATGGGCTGGATTTTATAAGCATTTTTCCTTCCCAGTGAGGATGATGTTGAGATTTCTATAAAAGGTGCTGAAGGAACAAGGTAGGAGGAAGGGGCTTTTTTTTTTTTTTTTACTGATTCCAGCTGCTGTTCCATTGGTCATGGTAAAGGAATGAAGACATGTAGTGTTGCTCTGCCCCAGCTACACACAAGAGGCTCAGTGACCTTAGAGTCCAGCCTGGCCTGCTGTCCACTTCCCTGCAGCCCTGTCATCCAGGAAACCA